ACTGTATTTGGTAGTGAACAAGGCCAAATGCCGATAATCTGCTGATTAATAATGGCAGTTCCAACGTTCACAAAGCATAGCCGGTCCAGCGAAGGCATGTGCTGAGCTAATGATTTTCAGGTAAAACTTGTTTGCAAACCTGACAATTACAGTTATGCAACCGCACACATGCCGTCAAGCCTTGCCTTATGGGCACGTATTCGCACGTATTCAAGAAAGACATTCGAAATACCACCAAGGCAATGTCCTGCACTGGAGCTGCCATATGAATGTTTCCGTTTGTTTAAGTATATTCAGTTTAAATCCTGGCATTTACGGCTACTTAACCATGCAAGTACATAGGGCAACTCGGCGGACGTTTAACTGCGTCCATCTATGGAGGACAAAACAACTGTGAAACTATTAGAGGCAAAACACACTGTCGTCTGCTGTCAGTATCGCTAGCCTAGGAACACTTTGAATGTAATACTGCCGTTCCCGAGAGCTCACAGTCTCGTAAGTGTTTCTTTCTATCTGGTCGCGCTTTTCGAGGTGCACTGTGGGGTTAGCAGCGAAGCAGGTCTAACCTAGTAAGAGGAGTTTGGATTGTGTTGAAATAAGGTCGGTGATAATGATCGGTTTGAAGAAGGTGTTCTATGATATACGAGCGTTAGAGTACATCTAATTTGGCATTCTGCTTCGATGCTATTGGAGTGCAAACAACGAATTCGAAAATGTATATCCTAAGTACAATTTCGATTTAGTAATTTCCAATGCAATATACACATTCGTTTCATTAGGGAACTTCCGTCTTTTTAAGGAAAATGATTAAAAACCAAAGAAAAAGCTGGAAAAAAATCTAAACCACAGTAGACTGTACCTAACAAAAGTTAAAGTTAACCAAGTAAATAATTTTAACTAACTAAACTTCAATCTGAAAAAAACTGAATCTCACTTACAATGCTAAATAATGAATTATTAAACGAATAACTTAACTAAACTTTATAAAAATCTTCATGTAAATAATCAGTTTGTTATGCATAGTAAGCTATGGTGATGGCTATAAGAATACATTACCGTCTACCGAAAGGGACAGAGGCAATTTATTCAGTAGATTCAGTCCACTTTTATAGAAACGGACATAAAATCACGGAGTCGCAAACAGTAGGTTTACTAATTCATATGGCTGTGTGTATAAATCGTTTCTACGGCCTTATAAGACTTTCAATGAAGAAACAAGCGAAAGCATTGGTGCAACTATGTGCTAATGAAATGTGCTGATGTACAGCTTTCGTGATTGGCGGCTTAGAACCATACCATGCTCGCTTATATATTTAATAGGCCTGAGTGGAATTAATTAACTTCTGCGTGGTCAGCATGACCAAGCATCAGATAAGGGCCTCCAACTTGAGTGAGGCTAGAAATTCCTCAGTGATTACCGAGACTGCTGTCACATATAGTAGTGAACTGCTAAAAAGACACCTTGACCAAGCCATTTTATGAACCTTCCTAACAGCCGAAGTTTGGGAATATTTTTAACCAACCCTATCTTACATGGGGAAGGTAAATATAGGTTACCAGCTCAGACCACCTCCATGTGCATATTTTCCTTTACTTGCTCCTGCGGAGCAGGTTATATTGGTTGCAAGAGCCGGCACCTATTCAAAAAATAAAGGAACAACCCTAGGCATGGTTGAGAAAAGGCAAAGTCAGGAGTATAAACAACTCTATTTTGGCGCACATTGTGGATTCCGGATATCGGGTGGACTCCAACGAAGCTTCCCAAGTGATCTTCGAGGTCGCACCAAATTTACCAAAACTTGGATCAGCGTCTGCTAGCAACAACAGATGCAACCGCTATCAGTTGGATGAAACCGGCGTTGTGTGAGCACACGAAAATCATGCAGTCACTAAGCGGTATGTAATTCTTTGACGCCACTGGTCACCATCCAGAGCCCGAAAATATTCTTGCCATTCATCGGATGCCTACACCCCAGGATTTATCACCTCTTTGATCGTTCCTTGGCCTGATCAGCAACTATAGCACTTTCTTACCATCGCTGCCTTACTTACGAGCCTCACTCAACCGTTTGTTGCAGAAGGATGTTCTCTGGTGCTGGTACTCCGACTTTGAAAAAGCCTTTTTCCAACTGAAGCCGTTGCTGAATTCGGCTCTGCTGCTCGCACACTATGACCCGACACTGCTGATCGTCGTTGATGCAGACAACTCCGTTCATGGCGGTGGTGCCATCATTTCGCATACTTTTCCTGACAGGTCCGAAAAGGTGATCGTGCACGCATAAGGAACTTTAACCCTACTGAGAAAACTATGGCCAAACCAAAAATAAGCACTAGCTGTC